CCAATAAGTATATACAATATATACAGTCAAGAATTACATTAACAATGTCTAGTCCCCTAACATTTGATAGATTCAGACAAAAACTTCATTATATATATTAACAATGTCCAGTCCAGTAACATTTGATAAACTCAGACAAAAAAATTTCATTACTTATCCTATTTAAAACAAGTATTTCCTTTTAAAAAGTAGATTTAATAATTGACCTTTTTTATCTTATCATATCCATACTCTGTGCAATTTGTCTTAGGGTTTCTATTGCTGTGAGAAAATACCCAAATCAATTGAGTAACAATAAGTATATTTTACCTTACAGCTCCATATCACATTCTATCATGGAGGGATGTTAATACAGGAGTTTAAATGGGCAGGATCCTGGAGGTAGGAACTAAAGCAGATATCTTGTAGGAACTCTGCTTACTGGCTTGCTTCTCCAGGAGAAAGACTGCCTTTTCAGTTTGCTTTCTTTTATACTCCAGAACCACCTTTCCAATGGTGGTACTGCTCACCTGAAATTGGCTGGGCCATCCCACATCCCACATCATTCACTAACAAAGGAAATGCATCACAGGCTTGCTCACAAACCAAACTTATGGGGGCATTTTCTCAATTGGTGTTCCCTCTTCCAAATGACACTGGTTTATATCAAGTTGACATGAAAGTAGACAGTATGCTCTTGTATATTAGAGCTGAGTGATGTGTTTCATTTATTAAGTTTTATCTTATTTTATAAGTTCTCACAGTTAAGAAACTGTCATGACTCTGAGAAGAGACTTTAGGCTTTTAGACAATGATGGTCTGTGAAATTTTCTGAGTGTTTTATAGAAGAACTAAACCTATTTTGTATCATGTGAACTTTAGGGGCTGGAGGTCAATCATTATAGTGAAAAGTGATTTATATGGGTATTAAACTGACAAGAGATGGACTGTGGGTAATTTTCATTGTTTACTTGACACCAAGGAGACATGCCTCTGTACTCGTCTATGAGGTTGTTTTTAGAAAGGTTTAACTGAGGAAGGCAGACTCACCCTGAGTATGAGTTGTGGTACCAGACTGAATCAAAAGGAGAGATTGGCAGGTAATGATTGTTGGGGAGGGTGTGCCATGTATAGTTACTGATAAGTTGCCCTTGATTTGATGAAAATCCTCTCACCCATGGTAGGAAAGAAATTAAACTCAATGGGTCTCTCACACACACAAGAAGACATGAAAGCAGAAGGGGACTTATTGAGAAGTGTGTTCAGTGGCAGAAGACAGGTAATGAGCAGGTAATGAGGAGTGGGAATGACTAAAATTCTCTTAAATGTGTGAAACTATCAATTTCAAAAAAGGACATAAGTACAAGCCTCTCTCTCTCTCTCTCTCTCTCTCTCTCTCTCTCTCTCTCTCTCTCTCTTTCTCTGTTTCTTGACTATGGTTTGGTTCACTTGTGTTTTTACCTCCATGCTTTCTCCAGTAACAAGTTTTACGTCTCAAACTGTTAATCAAAATAAATCTGTCCATTACTTAAGTTACTTTTGTCACAACAAAAATTTATTATATGTTATTTCATCACAACAAGAAATATAATTATTGCAACAAGATTCAGACACTAAAAGAGACATGGCTACTATGTATAAATCTATTACTCATAAATGAATTAAAATAATTTCATGTAATATTCATAAGTTCCTTATTGGGAAATAACACTAAAATTCATCTTTATTGTGAATGGATCACTGGTAAATGCTTATCACACAAACTCAAGGATAAAAGTTCAGATCTCCCAGACTCATATAAACCAGCTTGGTATTGTAGCCCACCTGTAATCCCAGACTTTAGGAAGCAGAAACAAGGGATTGCTTTAGTAAGCTGGCTAGTTAAATCAGTCTGATTGATGATGAACTCTGGGTTTAAATGAAAGACCTTGTATTTATGCACACGGCAGAAAGTGATTAAGGAAGATGTTCAATGTCAATCTAGGGCCTTGATATGAATTTCAACTCCCCCTCCCCGCTACATCTACACACAAAAGTAAATGTGCATGTATATACATGCATGTCACACAGATATATACATTTGAAGAAAATCAACTTCAATATTGAAAAGAAGACATAGAATTTTACTTTCGTGGGAGCTACTAGTCAAAGACTTTTGTGGAACTCTTTATCCCCATGTCTTATTGAGGTGAATTCAAAGATATAGAATAGGCATATTATGGTTGGATGGTAAAATATCCTTCACAGACATGAGTTTGAAAACTGCATCCTCACTAGTGGATGCTAGTTGGGCTCTTAGCACATAAGATCACAGGAGTGATGCATAAATTTACAAGCTTGCCTGCTTCTTGCCTGAGCTCTCTGATATGATTTTGAAAAAAAAAAAAATACCAGCTGACACATCTCCCACCTCCAGGAATCAGGTATCTCAGCTGTCATGTTTTTCCTACCAGGAAGGACTGTATCCCTATGAGCTTTGGGTCAAAAGTAACACTTCTTCCCCTAGCTAGATGTGGTGATGTAATGCTGGAATCTCAGCATTGGGAAGATGAGCCAGAGGAAATCAGTCTGGGATAGACTACACAGTAAGCTTCAGACAGTCATTGGCTACAATGTGAGATTATCTCAAAGAATTTAAAATGTAAAAAATAAAATAACTTCCTCTCTCATGTTGCTTCTGTTTTTTCTTATAGTGACCAGAAAGGAATTCATTAAGGAGGTGCATACTTTCCTCGGATTTGACATGAGTGATACCAAACAAGGACTATATAAATAATTTTTTTTTTGCAAAAAATATCACTTAGGGAAAGACTGGGTTAAAAAAATTTCTCTTGTTAAGAAAACTTGAAGGCACTGGGCTAGATAATGAAGAGAGCAATTGTTCATGACCAGACCATTAAGTCAGTACCACAAAACAATCTGCATCTGTAATTGAGAAATGATGGAAAACGAACCAGTACTTCTTTTTAAAAATGAAATTTGGATAAAAATACCTTTACCTAAGTTAGGGTGGATTAAACTGAGAAGTAGATTGGTGGGTATGTGACCTGTGCCTTCAGTCACTCACAACATCACTCTCAGAACCACCTCATGTGGGTTTAGCAAGTGTTCTGCTGGTTCACTGTGAAATTCTTAATAACATTGCATAGCATGGCCACTCCTCTTTGCGTAGTGTTCCATGTGCCCCAATGGAATCAAAATCCTACTGAACAAGATCCTGTCTGACAAGTTCCTTTATTTCTCAGATTCCCAATTTTTGAAATGAAGATCACACCCTACTGAGAATATATATTATACACACACACACTCACACCCATATTATTATATATGTATCAACTAATCCATATCTATAAGACTACAATGTCAAGAATTTCATTCTTTATTATCGTTTTGATATGATCAAAATTCCTTGTCTCTCTTCTCTGAAAATAAAAATAGAGAAATGTTCAAACAACTCAAAAGCAAATAAAAACCATACAACATACAACAAAGGTTAACAAAAAGATAAAATCAAAATTATAACTCAACTAGTATCTCAGTCCAAAATTAAAATTGATGGTATGAACATGAACATGTTTGAGAGATTATTTTCAGTGTTTTTCACAAAATAAGGAATTAAAGGCACCTTTTTTCTTCAGTTCCCTGTATAAGATTTTGTCTTGGCTGATCACTTTCTTTGAAACAAGACAGTCTTATATAAGACTCAGAAGACAGGAGGAAAGATTTTTAGAATGTCTGGATTAATATACAATTCCTTTATTGAGATAATATATTTAAATTGTACATAAATATTTTTATTATTATCTGTTTGAACAGTGAGTGAATTATATTAATAGTTTTGGACATCAGTTTTTGGACTTCCATGAGAATACATGTTACTAACTCATGTAAAATTTAAAAAGAGATTCTAGAAACATAGCATTGGAACTAGGGTATCAGAGGATCACACACAAATCAAAACAAAACAACAACAAAAATGCTATATGTCCTCACAATAGGAAATATATTTTCTGAGAGTCTTTGTCTCCTACATGATTTCCAACTCACTCAGACCACCAAACCTTTTCTTCACAAATATTCTTGGCCTTATTGCCTCTTGTCTTTGTACCATTACAGTTAGTAATTATCTAAGTCTTTCTATGTATCTGTTCTGTACATTTCACATGGATTAAATCGCTATAAAAGTATGAGGACTGCACTTCGATTATGCCTGTCTTATAGAAGAGAAATCTGAATGGCAGGAAGATTGATCACCTGTAGGTTACCTAAATAGGAAGGAGCAGGCTGCTAGACTTACAGGTCTCTTTTCTCTCACACCTAGCTTGAAGGCATCTGCACCTCATCTACACTGGAAAATCAGACCCTGAATCATCTCCAACAAAGCACAGTTAACTTCACCCTACTTTCTTCTTATGCCTGTCTCATAGCAGAGGTCTAGAAATGTTTGAGTGAGTGACTGTGTGAATCAAAGGCTCCAATGCAAGGCTCTTTTTTGAACCTTAGTTTTTTCAAGAATGCACAGATCTTCTCTCAGATGAAACATTAAGTATTAATGGAACCGTAAGTCACAATGATGGTAAGAATTCACTATCTGTCATCTCTCTGCTAACTTATATCTGCAGGAACACAACTACCACTTATTCCTCTATTGAGTAGCATTTTCCTCTCTCCTCCTTACTTTCTTTGCTGTCTTTTTACTAAGTGTTGTACACATCAAAACCCCATTCTCCACCTATAAATACTTGCACTGAGTTTCTATGGCAGTCAATTAATTTATTCCTCGTCCCTACCACCTAGAGCTGGTGAGGAGCTGACTCCCCATAGGAGCCCCAATACTGGGGAAAGCTGGCCCTGCACCTCATCTGGGCAGCACAGTAAAGCTTACCTTGTTGACAGCAAAGACCAAGCCTACAAAATGGGACAAATAACATATCTACCAATTATATTTCTGATAAAGGGTTAGTATCTAGACTAAATAAAAATATAAAAACCCTGAATATCAAGAAAACAAACAGCCTGACCTGATGATGGTGGTGCATCCCTTTAATTCCAGAACTTCATAGGCAAAGGCAGGTGAATGTCTGCGTTTGAGGCCAGCCTTGTCTATAAAGTGAGTTCCAGGACAGCCAAGGCTACATAGAGAAACCCTGTATCAAAAAAAAAAAGAAAGGAAGAAAGGAAGGAAGGAAGAGAAACAAAAGAAAGAAAACAAACAACCCAATTAAAGAATGTTCCATGGAACTAAATATTAAACACAAATGGCTAAGAAACAAATAGATGTTCAACATCTTTAGTTATCAGGTAAATGAAAATTAAAACAACTTTAAGATTTCTTCTTACCCCAGTCAGAATGGCCAAGATCAATAAAATAAATGACAGTATATTATGTTGAGGATGCAGAAAAAGAACACTTTGTTGTTGGGAGTATAGGCTAGTACAGCTAGTGTGGAAATCAGTGCAGAGATTTCTCAAAAAGCTGAAATACAGACCTACCACAAGATTCATCTGTATGTTATTGGGCATATATACAAGGAACTCTACAAGAAACCCAAAAGACAAATATTATATATTTTCTCTTTTATGTGGATATTAGCTTTTAAGCTTTTGATATGTGCACTGCAATCTGTATATACCCAGAGAACTCTACAAGAATCCCTAAAGAATCCCAAAATGTTATATGTTTTCTTTTATATGTGGATATTAGCTTCTAAGCTTTTAATATGTGTGCTTCAATCTGAATAATCACAAAGTAAGGGAATAGGTGGGAGGAGGGGATCTTCCAAGGAAGGGGAAATAAAATATAGTGATATAAAAGATCAATGGAAAACTAAAATTGGAGGGTTAAACTGGGAAGGAGTTGGGAGGGCAAGGAAAAGGAAGGAATATGAGGAGGGACAATCAATACTAATCGCCTTTTTTAAAACTACATGGAAACTTATTACCTTAGAAGCTTCCTAAAATATAGCCATAAATGAAAGGAATTTAAATAGAATGACCACAAAACTGGGGAGACAATGCCCAAATTTGACATTTTGTGTTACAGATTGATACTTACAGTGCCAGGAATGGATTACCTGAGTCTTTGTCCAAAGGGATCCCATAGACCCTCCCCCCAAAACATCACAGGCTATTGCCAAGGCTCTTGGTTACACTCCACAATCTTTTAGTATGGTTCCAGTGCTGAAGACATCACTAACACATCACTGGCATGCCATCATGTCTATCAGTCACTTTCTTTGAGCATGATATCCCTTGACACTTTTTCCTTCTTGTTTTGCTCTCTGACTATGGTATCCAATCAACCACTTTGACTGATTCCATCCTGTAGATATATGCATCTTCCCTTGCTGAATTCCCTGATCTTTGGTGCTATGCCTTTAATGAGACTGATGCAATTTACTTCCTCCACTGCAACCAAATTTATATTGAACATCTGTACATGGTACTGTGATGTATTTCATCAAAAGACATTAGTAACATAGGGTATCATGCATTCTAGCATAATCGTGTGACTGTTTCAACCTATGAGTGTTCATAGCAATAATAAATGTTTAAATAGATATACATGAACCTACACTATGATTCTAAGTTTACTGTTAGTAAATAACTAGTCTTTCATTAGTACCAGGATGAGGGATGATTTAAAATCCATGTGACTCATTGGATGTAACAGTTAAATATATTTATAAATAAAATTTTCAGAATAATAAGAAATTATGGCTCTAAAGAATGTGATTTTTAACTGTGTTTAAGTCACTAAAAAGAACTACTGATGAATTTTCCAGTGTTTAGCCAGGAAATTCAAAAATTCCTTGTTTGTTGGTGGAGAGATTCTATGTAAGCGTAGATCTCAAACAACATAAGAAAGTATGTCCTCTATTGGATTCAGTAACATTGTTGGAAAATGAGTTCTGTTTATTTTGTGTGCTTAAAGCCTGCTTTAGCTTTAAGTATTCAACTGCTTTTCTAATCCAAAGTCCCAAAGTCCACATTCCTCCCAACAAAACTTGCATAGTCAGGCCTATCATAGTGTTACCCCATTCCGTGCTACTAACTTCTGTCATCCTCAGGGTTTCCACTGCTGTGAAGAGACACAATGATCAGGGCCACTCTTATAAAGGAAAACATATCAATGGGACTGGCTTAAAGTTCACGTTTATTCCCTTATCTTCATGGCAGGAAGTGTAGTGGAGTGCAGGCAGACATGGTGTTGGAGAGGGCCTAAGACTTCTACATCTGGATCCTTAGGTAGATGGAAGGAAGAATGACACAGGCCTGGTTTGAGCATCTGAATCCTCAAAGCCTGTCCCCCAGTAATACACTTCCTCCAAAAAGGGCACACCTACTCCAACAAGGCCACACCTCCTAATAATCCACCCCCTGGGGACCAAACATTCAAATACATGAGTCTATGTGGGCTATTCCTATTCAAACCACCAAATCTAGTAAAACACACACACACACACACACACACACACACACACACACACACACACACACACACAATTAATTAAATAATACTGTAATTTTCCATTGATTTTTTTTAATTTAGGAGCACATTACAGATAATAAAACCTGCAGTAGGAATTCAGGCATCTAGAGCTTTATTTGTATACAGCATAGGCATTGTTTTAAGATATTGAAGAAGTACAAATACTAAGTAAATTATAATGCTATTGGTTTCTGTGTTCTCCTGTACAGCCTCTTAGTTATGTACACAACCAAATGTAACTATTGTTGTTGTTTCTCTCCCAGGGAAGTGAAGTTTTACATCTTACCTGCTGCCTCTAAGGAAAATCAAGGAAAGGAGAAGAACAGTCATGCCTGCTGGAGCCACATGACTTCTTTGGGGGACAAGGCCTGAGAATGACACAGACAAATTCTCCTTGTGGCAAGGCCATGGAGAATCTGATCCATTTTTGTCAAGGCCAACCGAGAGTTCACTGCATAATTCTGGGCAGGACCCCAGGAGCATATGTGCTGCCTGCTCTCCTTGCTTTCTGTATATAAATCGTATTGCTGGCTGCCTCTAGTTTCGCTTTCTTAGAGCTACTGATGAAATGGCTTTTGTACAAGGACAACTTCTCCCTGATGATTCTCCTCTGAGTGAGCCAGAAGGGATGTTGTTAAAAATATACAGTGGACCTAATTCAGCTCCTAAAGCCTGTGAGGTTTCAAGTGTGACCATGAACTCAGGATTCTCAAGAACAAGATGTTGCCTTTCCAATACATCTTGTGACTAGTCTGAAAGATTCACAGTAGCTCATGGTATTACAAATCTACATAACTGTTCTGGGAGAATGATTTTAACCACAAGAATCTAGTAGAAATGCTAATAAATAGATAGTATCAGGAGTTGATGGTTAGAGCCTAGAGACAGGGAATGAAGCAGAATCATAGAAACTCACGGTTCTCTCATTTCTCATACCCTAAGAAGTTAAGGAACAGGATATGAGAACAAGGGATAAACAATCCCAACTATTAAGAGTAAGTTTCCAAGTTATGTTGCCTATAGGATAAATAGGAAAACTTGGAAGAGATAGACTAGTACAGAATGAAGAATGAACTGATTCAGCCTTCACTGATGAATGAATTGGAAGAACTTAGATTTGCCTAGAGGTAAGCATTAACCACCAGAGACAAAACCCTCTTTCACTTTGCATGACGCTGTAACTGCAAATGCTGTCAACTGGGCACACTGTTCTACCTGTAGATGTGCCTAGCTAGAAAAACTTCCTTTGTCACTTGCAACACTGCCTGACATTAAAGCTATGAGTCAAGTAGGGAATGGTTACTGGTGGGAAAGCTGGGGGACAGCAGGGGAAAGAGGTAAAGGAACAAACACAATTATTGGAATCTTTTTTAGAAACTTAAGGAAATACATTTGATTGTAAACCTGTTCATGCAAACTATTAAAACTGTATAAATAAAAACAGCCCAGGCTATCTGGGGCCAATTGTTTGAAATAGGTGGTCATAGTTTCTTTGACTTCACACATCTGTCCCAGGTCATTGGACCCATTGGGAATTAGGAGTCAGACTCTCTGCACATGCCATTTAAGCTATCATGGATATCAGATACATAGTAACAAGCAGCCACATGGCAGGGAGGGAGGCTTCAGAGGAAGTGTATGGATTCCAGGAATGCTGGGGAAACCCAGAGTGTTAAGCAATGTGTATTTAGAAAACAGGTAAAAAGAAGAAAAGGAGAAGTTACACTTTTCTGAATAATTCAAAAAATATTTCTGCAACATAGGCAGAATTATGATGGTACATGGCTGTAGTCAGGTGAGCTACTACAATAGAGCAGGGGATCCACGGAAGAAAAAGTACAGTATCTCGTTACAGGACTGCCTATCTTATAGTATTAGGTGATCAGCCTAGCCTCACTAGAATGTTCAGGAATGTTAGGTTTTCACACAGGTCAGAGACTTTACAGTCAATCAGCTAAGTAAAGATTAGTGTGAACAAGTATATAATAAGCAACAAAATGAAGCAGTAATAAAATGTATCCCAATCTACAAATAGCCTGCTCAGGATGAATTCCATTCAGAAGTATATGAGAACTTCTAAGAAACACAAACACTTTTCAAGCTATTCCATAAAATATAAATGGAAGTAATGATTTTAAAGTCACTATTGCCCTGATACCAAAAATAAGCAACACCACAAGAAAGTACAGATCAGACTTTCTGCCAAACACAGATGTTTAAATTCTTTACCAATCTTGGAAAATGAACTAAAGACATCAAAAAATTATTCACTATATTCAAGTTGACTTCAATCCAAAGACACAAGAAAGGTTCAGTAACCACAGGTCAACTAACATTAGTTATCACATAAATGTGCTTAAGGACAGAAACCTCATGACCATCACAATAGATAAAGAGAAGGGCTCTAACAAAATCTAGCATTTCTTCATGATAAAATACCAGAAGAGACTAGAGATGGAATATATACACATATATATATATATATATATATATGTGTATATATATATATTTGTGTGTATATATGTATATTGACTATATATGGAAACCTATAATCAAACTCATAATAAATAGCATTTCTGCATTTCCAGTAATATCAGGAATAAGACAATGTTTTCATTTTCCCCACTCCCATTCAATTAAGTGCTAGAAATCTTA